TTACTGAATTTAATTAGTTCTAATTAATTTGATTTATATTTACAATCTCTATAGAATAAAAATATTTTTTCATGAAACCAGTATATACAGGTATGTAATGAAGAGCGACAATGAATTTAAAGTTTAAATTTAAACTATATATTTAGGTAGAATTTTTTTGTGGTAAACTTTTTGAACCATGAGATCAGGGCATACGTGATAAATCATGAAAATATCACTTCAGCTTTTTGAAGACCATCACTTTTAAATTGACTAATTTTGTAAAAGTTGGCAATATAACAGAAAGTGAATATAAACGTTTTAGTTCCATTAATGGGAAGTCCATCTCTCCTTTTTATCGTCAAAGATTCATTCATTGTAATTTATGGAAGACACAGAAGCCATTACGTATATAGGTGCATGCATAAAAGCAAGGCAAAAACACAAAAATTCAACGTTTGATTGCCCTATATATATATGATGGCTTAAAGATAATAGCCAGAGTCTGCTTTTCTGACCGAGTACAGTAATTATTTGCCTATGGCGGCAGAATACGTGGAATTTTTTATAGTGTCTTTGAAAGCGAAGGCCTAATCCACTTCTCAGCTTCCTATTAAGGTAGTTCAAGGTCAAATATTCAATTAGAGGAACAACAACTTTTGAGTCAGCCTGAGACAAAGACAATCACTAACGATCGATAGTGCAACAAGGAAGAATTCAAAAGCAGAATGATTGACCACATAAAAATAGGCCATTTCTGACCCCAAAATTTAGCATAATACAATTCTTTATTGGATCATACTTCGTTAGGGATTAAAAAATGTTTGAAGGGAGTAAAAGAATTGTTTAAAATATTATAGAAAGGAAAAGAGGGTGTCGTCGATGATCGATTAATGTTTTGAATATTGACTAATTGGCTCAATTATGAGCACTCATGCAAAGTTTAAAAGCAAGCTTTGAAAATAAATATATAAAAAGAAAAAAAAAAATCTCAATGATTTCTGCCAATAAAGTTGATCAAATTTGATGGGTTTAGTTGATTCTACCAAACAGAGATCTTCCTAGCGAGCTCCTCCTGATAATCAAAAGAAAATACTGTGAGACAGTATTTTCTGCATAATAAGTCAAGCAGGAATATTCTGGGAGACAGTACTCGTACCACTGTTAATTATACTCCAAATGGCATGAATTAAAAGAAAATAACTGCCAGTTGTTATACAAATATTTACAAAAGAAAAGCCAAATGGACCTTTTATTAGCTTTGTCCTGTTTAAGATGGATGAAAGACAAAAAACAATATAAATATAATAATTGATTTGGTTTGTAGATGATGTGATATAATTGTTTTATCTCCAATTTTTTCTGCAAATCAAAGGCGCCTTGCATGTGTTACAGTGTTAGCTTGTGTAATTTTATAACATCCTCGTGTAAAGATAACGAGTAAAAATTAAAAAACAAAAGGAAGATGGAGATGCTATTTCTAGAAGATTGAATGTTTTAAACGCAAAGGAACATAATTCCAATATCATTTAATAAAGACATTAATTTCCTAATTGAATCCAATATTTAGTGATTACCTTAATTTTAAACATAAGCTCCATAATATTGTTAAAAAATAATGTCAAAACACACACAATAACGAATCAAAAAATAAAAAATAAAGAAGATAAGCGATTTATCCTGGTTCGTTCTTAATATATAAATTATGTCCAACTTTCAAGATAGAAAAGATTTTATTGAGTTTTAAAAATCTGCAGAAATACAATAGTAATGACGATAGTTCACTATCTCTCTTCTCTCTCTCAATATTTTCTCACGTTAGATTTTTCACTATTACAATATGCATATGATAGGAAACATAACCTCATCGAAACCACTTGCTATCTGCATCCCAAGGACAGAGCGAGATCTCTAAATACATCTATGTAAGCTAATAATCCATCAAAATATCTTATAAAATATGAACCATATTCAACAAATATTTCATTTTCACATGTGTCATCTTTCATTGGGATCATAGACCTTGAAGCCTGGAGACAACCTAAATCAGAACATATCCATGATCTGTCATTGTAAGAATTAAGATATCAACCAATAATTGTTTTTTAATTGAATCATAATAACCAAGATCGATGTTTCTTTCTATACAGCTACTTTAATTTAACTTATGTATATTGACATGGTAAATCAAACAATTCCAACCATAAACGACAACAAAAACTCTCCGAGCATATCGTCATATAATATATGTCATCAGCTGGCCGAATAATTAGCACATTAATCTAAGTACAATGTAAAACATAGACAATGGAAGACGCATCTCATCAGTAAAAATTAAGATTAATAATCCAACAGGAGAAAAAGATTTAAAAACTTAAAAGAGGAAGGATGAACGAATATATATAATTATGTTTGGATAGTCAAGTGGTTCGATAGAGACTTTTAGGTCTTAAGTTTAAGTTCTTTCTCGATTGCTAATAGGGGTAGCTAATGAAACTCTTACCTGACTAATCGTTCTAAGGTTTCGGATAATTAATTAAAGTATGTTTAAATTGATTCAGACACCCCCAATCATTTAAAAAAAAAATAAATATATACCATCCTCATCCTGCGGCTAAAGCTAGCCCCATTTCTCTCAATTCATTACTATACTTTATATATATATATTTTAATATTTAAATTATATAGCTAGCCATCTTTGAAATTCAATTAAATACACAAGGATATGTTACGTTTTATAACCCATAAGTGTTATCAAAATACAAAATTTTTATACATATATACGATGACCATATAGAGGATTGCAATTGAAAGTTGAATATACTTTTCTTGGAAGCAAACACGATATTGTAGACTTGTATTATACAAATATACGAAGCTATCAATTTGACAAGATCAGTTCACGTTTGTCTTGCTTGTATTTTGAAAATTATAATAACACCATGAAGTAATAACATATATAGCGTGTTATTCAGATGATTGTATAAGTCGCAGAATTTGTTTCAGGAACGGGTCTAAAAGTATTCTTGTGGAATAAGAAACTGAATTAGCACTGCCCGGTAGAGTCTCCCTTTAATTATTATATATATACTTATAAATAGCCAGAGATAATACTTGTACAAAATAGATCAAAAAATGTATATTAATAAATCGGGTGGACTAGTCTCATATTGTTGAAAAGTCAGAACTCAGAAGGATCAAGTAAGCGCTTCATCATCAGAGCCTTTGAGGAGACTAAAAATTTTGTCAGCTTACTATATTTGACGATTGACTATTGCCCATTTACTCCCGCAGTACCATCCACATCATCGACTTTTGTATTCAATACATGAGGGTCAGAAACTGTTTATATGTTCGACGGCCAAACAATTACATTAATTAATGTTACTATAAAGAATTTTAATATACATATGGAAAAAATTGTACAGTGAGGTAAAATATTGAAAGGAGGTTTAATAAGCTTCTGATTTCGAGTTATTACAGGCGTTAATAAGAGTGATTATTAAGAGGTTTATCTGGTCGTTAATATAAGGGTTCTGAAAGATTAGTTGAAATGTGTATAAACTAATTCGGATATTTTTGTAAAAAAAAAAAAGAAGATAAAACAATATAAATGATGATTTTGTATTGAACTCTGGCTATCGGAATAGTACATTATTACTGTCAACAAGAATGAAAAGACAATTACAAACAAATATAAAGCAATCTTATTGACTTTGATTAGTTTGATACCACTTAATTAAACCAACAAATTAATTAAACAGAAGCTCACTGGTTTGTATGTTTATTTTTGCATGGGAAGCCATCAAGAGCGCGTGAAAGGGATGGGGAATGAGTCGTGAACCTTGTTTTACAGGAAAAGTCTAATACTAAATCGGTAGAACCCACGCAGATTAAATCCTGCATTCATTGCTGCTGGTATCGATCTGTTGACTGCAGACCCATAAACGGTTCATATTTCTAGAAAACAACGATTTTAAAATAGTTATCATAGTTTATAAATAAAGATGAACCCAAAATAAGATACAAATATTAACTTATAAAAGTAATTAAATATATAATCAAATTGAGATGTATAATACTTAATTGGAAAGAAAGGGGAAACTAACCAATCTATGGGTGGTTAAATAGTTTGATAGAGATTTTTAGTATATTACGCAAGAGACCTTGGTTTCAAATTCCTCCTTAGTTGTTTATAGAGATAATCATTGAAACTCTTACTCGATCGATAATTTTAGGATTCTGAAAGATTAGTCAAAGTATACATAAATTAGTCCACACACCCTCTTAACTTAAAAAGAAAAAAAGAAAAAAAAAAAAGGGGGAAAATCCTATTTCCTTTCCAGCTCTCATTGTCACTTTCAGAATAACCTTTTCTCGACGTCACTCCATTCATACAAATGCAACAATAACTATGCAACGCACTAAGAACCAAATAATAATACATCTTTAAATCCGTACTATTTGTTCTCTTCTTAATTTCCTCCAACAGAATCATATCCACTTGACCCACTCGCCTTCTTTCAACGAACCTACACCACACCCTGCTCAGGCTAGGAAATTGCGCACCCCAAATTACTCCAAAAATTACTAGACTGTGCAACAAATATATATTACCTTCTTAAAATTAAACCAACTAATTTAGTTCTCCAAATAATTTAGGCATATTTTTGAAGGTTTGAAAGATAAATTTATAGAAATAAATTACAATATCTACGATGATAAATTAATAAAAAAAAAATGAAATAATTCACTTCTCGTTAGTCGGTAAAAGTAGATAAGATGAGGATAATAATTATTAATACATTTACGGTTTGCCGCTGTGACTATTCTCAGAAGGATTCAATTTGGGAAATCCATAGGCGAAAGTTAAGTGTAAATGTTTTAATACCGCGTAGAGTAATTGACACAGTCAGAGGCTCAGAGCCCTCGCTTTCCTTCTCGCTGGGTAGCTTCATCGACTCTCTCTCTATAAATATCCAATCACCCTCTGTTAACAGCCAGAAACTAACCATCGAAAACAACAACAATTTCTCTTCTCTCTCAAGTGCAATTTCTTTCCGATCGATAACACTCTTCTATTTGTAAGCGAAGAAAGGGAATTACAGCCATGTTTTTCAAATCACCCTCCCCATCAAGAATGACACCACCCACTTCACCTCTACGTCCCACTTTCTCAGAATCTCTCATGGATGAGAACATCCAAATCGCTGAATCACTCATTTCTAAGTGGGATTCAGAAAACACTGCCAATGCCTGCAGCACCAGCTCTCTCTTCTCTGGCAACCGCCAAGAAGCCAAAGAATACCTTCAAGTCATCAAACACTTACAGTCCGCCATGCACTATTTCGCCGCCCATACTCCATCTTCACACAAACTCGTTCGTTCGCAAAATCTCATGCAAACCGCCATGAAAAGACTTGAGAAAGAGTTTTACCAAATGTTAAAGACCAATAGAGAATACTTGGACCCTGAATCTGTTTCCACTCAGTCTTACTCATCAAGAGCTTCAAGAGCCAGTCTTTCGGATATGGAAGATGATTCCGAGGATGAGTTCAAATTCACAGACGACAACATTTCGGAAGTCGAACGTGTCTCTATTGCTGCCGTGGCCGACTTGAAATTAATAGCTGATTGCATGATAGCCTCCGGTTATGGCAAAGAGTGCGTCAAGATTTACAAGATAATCAGAAAATCTGTTGTTGATGAAGCGCTTTATCATTTAGGAGTTGAGAAACTAAGCTTGCCTGTGATTCAGAAAATGGATTGGGATCTTCTGGAGATTAAAATCAGGAGCTGGTTACACGCCGTTAAAACCGCTTTTAAAACGTTGTTTTACGGCGAAAGGATTCTATGCGACCAAGTGTTCTCGGCTTCCGACACTATCAGAGAAACGTGTTTTACGGAAATTTGTAAAGAGGGAGCTTTGACTCTATTTGCATTCCCGGAAAATGTAGCAAAGTGCAAGAAAACTCCTGAGAAAATGTTTCGTATCTTGGACCTGTACGAAGCAATTGCCGACCTCTGGCCTGAGACTGAGTCTATTTTCAGCTTTGAATCAACTTCAGTCGTCCGATCACAAGCTGTGAATTCAATGATCAAACTAGGCGAGGCTGCCCGTACGATGCTGGTGGAATTTGAAGCGGCGATTCAGAAAGATACCTCAAAATCCGGGCTTCCCGGTGGTGGAATTCACCCCTTGACTCGCTATGTAATGAATTACATTGCTTTCCTCGCCGATTATTCCGGTTCACTTTCAGATATAGTCGCCGACTGGCCGTTAACGGTCAGTTCTCCGTTACCAGAAGCTTACTTTGGTAGCCCTGAATCCGAGGACAACATTTCCTCGCCAATAGCCATCAGGCTTGCTTGGCTTATTCTGGTTCTGTTATGCAAACTAGACGGCAAGGCTGAGTTGTACAAGGACGTATCACTCTCTTACTTGTTCTTAGCCAACAATATCCAATACATCGTCGTAAAAGCCCGTACGTCGAACCTTAAATTTATCCTCGGCGAGGAATGGGCGATGAAGCACGAGGCAAAGGTGAGACAATACGCAGCCAATTATGAGCGCATGGGATGGAGCAAGGTGTTTGCGTCAATGCCGGAGAATCCAACAGCTGAGATTCCACTTGCTAAAGTCCGAAACTCGTTTCGGCAATTTAACTTGTCTTTTGAAGACGCGTACAACAAACAGAGCTCGTGGGTCGTACCGGACCAGACATTAAGAGACGAAATAAAAATTTCGTTAGCGAAGAGGATCGTGCCGGTGTACCGTGCCTTTTACGAGAAGTATCGGGTTAGTGCAAGCAGGGAGCCGGGGCCGGGGAATCAATCGTTGGTCAGATTTGCCCCCGATGATTTGGGAAATTACTTGTCGGATTTGTTTTACGGAACCAGTGGGTCCGGTAGCGTTTCATCTCATTCGTCGTCGCATTCCAGTCAAGGAGGGCGGAATCGTTGAAAAAATAAAAAAACAGCTGTTTGCCGGCCAAGTTGATTATTTTAAGCTCGTGTTTTTTTTTTGTGCATAAAAAGATTTTCAATGAGAGCAAGACACGTGTATGAGGTAAATATGTATACGGAAGCATTGACTGATTGATGTGTTGACACCTGTAATTAGAATTCTTTTATTTTCCGGATGATACATGATAAGTATATGCTTAAATTTTAATATATTCGAAGATGATGAAATTATTTCTAAATCCATAATAAATATTAATTTTTTTATTATTAAATATTGATTAATACATGGAAGAATGATCAAACGGTGAGTATAATACGGAGGTGAAAGTTACCAACATTAAGATTAGAAAATAACGGGAGAAGTTAATTAAAGACAAAAAATAATAAATAAATAAAAATATCTTTAAGTAGTTGAGTTACTTGATAGAGAATCTTAAATATATTACTCAAAAAGTTTTGAATTTGAATCTCTCTTCAATCTTTTATAAGGATAAGTTCGCTTCAACACCCCTAGTCATATAAAAAAAAAAAAAAAAAAAGATTATTAGTTTAATCAAACTTGCTAATCTTTTTCAATGATAAAGTCTAAGAATAATTTGTCTAAACCAACAGGACCAAGAGAAAGATTAAAAAGATTAAAAAGTGGTTAAGACCGATGGGAAAGACAAAGACTATTTATTTTGTTTTTTTTAAGATAAGATGATGGGGCAGGAATAATTTAGTGTTAATCACCATGTCTAAAAGAAGTTCATTAAATATAATATTGTTGACCTGTCCTAAAATAATAATGTTCAAAGCAATTGCATTAGTTTTTTTTTTTTAAAACTTTTTTTAAAGAAATGAAATGGGATGATAAAATATCGAATAAATTCTTTATTGATGGATTATATACCATCTAAATTATGCTCACTTTTTATATATTTTAACGGAGTTTGCTCCCAAAATTCAAACTGTTGGATTTTGATGGGGGTTCAGTTAGGCCCAATACTAATGGGCACAGAGCTGAAGGCCTTGCCCCAGTTATAGCCTGTAGTGTCAACTTTAGAAGCTTTGAAGGAGACCTATAACATTTGCTTGCTTCCTGGGTCAGTTTAGAATTGTTGCAGAGTGATTTTAAAGAGGCCTTACCCTTTATCGATAATAATCAGATGGGAATCATTTGGGTTTGGGACCCTTTACTACTAGGCCCAATAATCATATTTAAATCTACAGCAAAGTATGCATTATGTAAGAATAGGCAAAATAGCCAACAAAGGAACACTTAACAAACATCACAAAATACAACATGTACCAACTTAAAATACAGAGACTTTAATCGGTGTTTCTTCTCACTTGAAAATACAAAAAAAATGACCTTAAATTTGGACCAAAATCTATCTCTAAAACTCCTGAATTAGCCTAACAAAGTTTATTGATTTTCATTGACAATTTTTATCAAATATGTTCTGAGCTTTAGTTTTGACATACAAGAAATAAATAATTATAACAAAATCAGAAACTTAAAACCAATGATATGTCTATGTAATATGACTAATAATAGATATCTTCTATTTTCCATATAAATAAAACTAAATGAAATAAAATTGTTAACAAACTACAATATTTCTTATCTCGGTTATTAATAAGGGTAGTTATTGAAACTCTTACCTGATTGATAGTTTAATTGAGATACGCACAAATTGGTCTAAACACCTTCGGTCATTAAAAAAAAAAAAAAAAAAAATTAATAATAATATTTCTTTTCAACATTGGATAATGTTAAAATTTCTATTTTTGATAACTCCATTTTAACGTGAAAAAAACAACTCATCTACAACTCAACACATCACATAAAGATTTATGATAAATCACTCTCATGTGGAATGTGAGCATTAATAGAAACTTTTGTCCTTGATCAAGTAAAACATCACCATCAAAAACATTAATAACAGCTGTATTTGTGCTTTATATCACGGGATTAAAACACACACATACAGATGAAAGATATCACATGTATCAGAAGAAAATTAATCTAAACCCCCTGAGGCATAGTCTAAATCTAATAAACCCCCTTTGTTATCACTAATATCTCTCAACCCTCTACCATTTGTGAGAGTTATTGAATTTTGCTCCCTTACGAGTAATTACCTATTCTACCCTAGTATTTTTCTTTCAAAAGTCCTTTTATATCTTTAGTGTGCGTTTGGTTCAGGGAATATTGGATTACTAGAAATGTTGGATTACTGAGAATGTTGGATTACTGGAAAATTAAATTACCTTGAAGATTACTGGGAATATTTAGGAAAATGTGTTTGCTTAGTTGAAATAAATTAGTGGGTATGTTTAATGAGTAATGCTACATTTACACCACCCATTACATCATTTTCATTATACCATCACTATTTTACTAATAATTATTTTATTATAATATTAAAAATTCAAAATAATTAAAAATTTGTGTGGATGTGGGATATGCCACATCATGGTGTAATGAAAATGGTGTAATGGGTGGTGTAAATGTAGCATTACTCATATTTTATTAATATGTTTGGTTAGGAGGAGTAAATTGGTGGGTATGTTATTTAAATTACTGAATTGTCCTCTAATTAAATATTATTATTATATTATTTTTTAATACTTATTATTATTTGGATTATTATAACCCCCCTGCATTTAAAAACTTAGCAAAAACAGCGTCATAATAAAAGTTTGGAAAATCAACAAAGCATTCCCACCAACCCAGCCACTACCAACCGCTGGCCATTAGCAACCTAACGGTGCACGGAAGGTAGGAAATGACCTCTGTGCGCCATATGGCCATTTTTTGCCAGAGATCTGACCGATAATGGCTAGATCATGACAGATCTGGCCGTTAACAGCTAGATTAGATCAGGCCATCAATGGCCAGATCTGTCACAATCTAGCCATTTTCGACCAGATATTTGGCCGGAAATGGCCATATTGTGACACAGCAACCATTTTCGGCCTTCCGTGCGCCTTTCCAGGGTAACAACGACGGTAGTTGCCTGCGGCAGGCGGCGGCAGGTGGGTGGGGGTGGTGACTTGGGTGGGCTGTAATTTGTTTTGAATTTAAGGGTAATTTTGTCCAAAAGGTTAATTAATTGGAGTGAAATAATAAAAGCAATATTTATGTAAATAAATTTAAAAATAAGGGCATTATTATCTTAAAATTTTATTAATAAGAGATAGAATTGTAACAAAAAAAAGATTATCCTGGTAATCTTACGATATCTAAGAAAAATAAGAAAAATGAGGTGATCAGATTACCTCCAATATTACCAACAATAACTATTATTGGTATTTGAAGATTACCAGAATCTTATATTACTTGACAACCAAACATGGTAATCAAATAATATAAGATGACATAACCCCAGTAATCTCACATTACCCCCAACCAAACGCCTCCTTAAGGTGCCTGGAAAAATAAATTTAATTGTTTAAAAACAAAAACACCATAACAGTACATTCATCTCTTCCCCACCCCCAAACACCTTCCCTCAATCGTTTGCCACCATTAACCACCATCATCGTTTTCCAAGCCCATCTCCTCTGTCCTACAGAAACCTCATCTCTTCCTCTTTTGTCTCACCATTGAAACCCTAATCTAAAACACAAACATACCCACAATTTTGTTTAAAATTCACCCACCCGAAAACTAAGATGCTGTTTGGGTATTTTGTATAGAGTGATTGTTGTTTGATTTATGAAGTTATGGTGATTTTGGCTGGGTGGGTATGCAATGGGAAGGGTGTGGTCGTTGTAGAGTTTAGAACGAAGTGGAATTCCGGTGATGAGAGAGTGGGGTGGGGCCACGGGGAGTAACATTTATTTTTTTAATATATTTTGATAAAAAATACATTTACAATTGCCTTCGGTGTGTTTTAATATTTTGAAAACGATCATTGTTGATACTATTAAACGCATGAAACAAAAGAAATGATACTAGCATTTGAAAAAAAAAACCAAAAAAAATCTTAAATTTCTAAAGATAAACTAAATTAAAAACCATTTAGAATTGAATTTATAAGATAATATGGAATTTTTCCATCATCAAAAGCCTATTTTTTTTTTTTTTTTTTTCTTCCAAATGAACTATTGTATATGAAGATCTAATGAGAAGAGAAGGATCAATTTGAAGAAAATGATGGTTGGACTCTGTATGGGCCAAAATTCGTATTGGGCCTGACGAGGTACAATCGTAACAGTAATAATTGAGACCCAGAGCCTTGCCCAATCCTGATTGGACCCATGCTTAGAACACCTTGGGAACTGTCTACTTTATGAGTTAGGTTATCTCCCGAGTTAAGCTGAACTGAGTCCGGCCCATTCGCCCGCAGCAGTCCATAACAAGAATCGGAATCTTGACCAAATTCCTCTTCTGACAAGGTCTCGTATCTCACCCGAAGAGGAAAACCTTGACAGATAAAGGCAAAGAATTCAATCTCTTCCCAAAAAGAAAGTTCCCTTACCAAATAGGACTCGGAGTCTTACTAGGATTTGAGCCCCTACGGTTCACTATATAAGCCGAGGCCAACTCCCTCATCAGGCATTGGAAGGAGACCATGCACCTTTAAGCCCTGATTCTCATATCACTAAACCCCTGATCTACTTCAATCCCCTTGCATCGCTTGGACTCCTTGAGTCTTGAGAGACGCAAGGAGGCACCCTGTAGGTCCACCAAGGTTGTTAGTGGCTCTCTTCACAAGAGTCCACCAGCTTCCTGCACCTCGAGAACTTGACTCCACAAAGGACTTTTTCGCAAATTCGCCTCGTTTAACGCTTAGCGGTAGTTCCTCTCCTCCTCCAATAAAGCTAGAATTGCTCGGCTCCTTTCCTCGGCACGAAGACCCGACAAATGTCTGTTGTAGTTGAGATCTGAAAAAGAAGAAACAATAAGATTAAGTACTAACACTTGAAACAGAAACCAAGCCTTATCACCTATCGACTGCTAGAAGAATGGGATGCCCTCGACTCCTCCTGCTCCAAAAACCATCTCACCCCTGACAAAAAAGTGTCATTCCTTCCACTTTTTGTCATAGGTCTTCAACCCAGTCACCAAATCCTTCTGGCCATGCCGAAGCATGAAAAGGTACCGACCTCTCTCCTTATCGTGCTCTTTTAGGTTATACGAATGGAGCAGATCCATTGCCCTGAACTCTACACCAAGCTGAGCGCCTA